TCCTGATAATTGATTGAAGTAACTCTAAGTTGAAATATCTAAAGAAAGGAGAAATTGAGAATAAAAAATGCTGGGAGAATGGGAAGAAGGTGAGGCAAGAGTATGGAACGTGTTGTGGTGATAAAAGAATGGGCAAACCCCATTTCTATCTGTGACAATGTAGCCTCATACAACAGAAGAGTATTTGTCTCTCCTCACCCTATGGTGGCACAGGCATTGTATGCTGTAGTGTTCATCTCTTGCCACTTTGTTACTATAGCTGTACTGACAAATTTGAAGAAATACAGGGAAGGTGAAGAACAATACTTGAGAGAAACTAGTGAAGAAATATTCCTTAAAATAAATACCCCAAAACCCACCCCTAAACCCAAGTCCAATTCCTTATCTCAAAGTGCTTACTTTCCCCTCTTCCTCTTTTGATTCTGTACTGTAATGAAGTAGTTTCTACCTTTGTCACTCAAATCCACGCGAGAAGAGCTCGAGGTCTGTCTCTGCAAGGAGCAGATGATCTGTACTCAATGCAGATGGCAGAATTCATGTGCTAAATGTGATTAATAGCTGTGATTTCCAGTGTGGAAAACAGCTTTGATGCTGTTTTAAAACTATACTGGAAAGATCAAAACAGTGATCTAGTTTGTTTCCTAAGTCCATAATCATTACCTATAACAAATTGACTGAGGCATTTTACAGTCAGATTTATATGACTCAGGAAGCGATCGACAATGTCAAACCTATGTTTATTAGAGAACTGTTTTTATGTAAAGAGTGAAAACCTAAAGAGGAGGTTTCTGAACTGAGGAATAGGTCGTTGCAGTCACTGAATTGGAGCGTGGGGGAGAAGGCAGTGGTTTTAGCATTCTCTCTTGCATACAGGACACAAGAGAGAAAGAAGGACCAAATAAAGAAACCTTTGTGATAGATAATAAAGTTAGTCATTTTCTAAGATACAAACCCAAACGTTATTTGACCAAATACAAAGAAATGAATAAAGCTGAAATTTGACAGTAAGTAAATATTTGGTTTCCTGAACTCCATATGATGTTGAAGTGTCATCATGGACCAGATTATTTGTTCAGACAGATACAAATGAGGAGCAAATTAATATAAACCAAGATCTTTAGCAGAAGTAAGCTCAAGGTTTTATACAAACACTTTGATGTTTAAAAGGCTCCTAAGGCCATTTACTAGCTCTGGAAAGAAGGTTTTATCACTGAAAAATGGCAGCTGTGATGAGGGTTTCTATTTTATTCAAGCAAGAAGAAATTACATGTGAGAAATTCAGTCTCTATTCACTCAGGGTTACATCATCGTATGGCTGGGATTACCTTAACATAGTTACAGATGATATTCCAGCAAAGAATGTTTTGGTTTTAGTAAATTATTGCATGGGAGTTTCATTCTGATTCAAACTCTTTAATTTGGAAGTGTGACGATCCTGTGACTTCAGCAGATCTTTCTAAACTAGCAAAGCAAGTTACAAGCAGCTTTCTTCTCACCGCAAAGGGATATTGCCTAGAAACCAGCACTACACAGAAGCAGATTTGAGGTTATAAATGCACACCTGAGTGAAGTTTCTTTGCAACTGAAAAAAAAGTGCTTTACTTAATTGAGTCTGTTTTGTATGCTCTTACATTTTAGCCTGTGCATAAACCTCCTCTGTAATGCAGGAAAGTGACATGCAGATAGACGCTTTCCTGAACTGTTATCCCGAGCATTGTAGAGGCAATACTTTTTAACTGTTTTGAAGCATTAATCACATATCTCCTTGAAAATAGACATAAGGGAAAAAAATGAACGTACCTTTTATGTGAAACCTGTTGGCAAATTCTGAACTTTTGTGCACACCCTTTGTACTTCTTGCAAGTAGATTGGCCTCAAGCAAAGGCCTTGCTATGTTCTGCCCATTGAAGGCTGAAATGTTGCAGTGTCATTTTTGATCTTGATTAACACTCATGACGCAATCTGCTTAGCAATGCTGTGCTGTATTCTTTATGCTGAGATCATTGGTTTACACAAGTGTACTTGTACTTCTGTGTTTTGCTTACATTCTGACTGTCACTCCATACATTTGTTTTGCCTAATATCTGTACATGCATCTTATTTTTTCCTTAATCCAAAATTTGAGTTCTTACAAGTAAGTTCTTGACCGAGCATGTCTTTTATGTGTTATGTCAAATTTATGCTTATACTGAAATACATCTTGTAATTGAAAAAAATTTGTCTCCAATTACAAACGCTTATTCAAACTGTTGTTTCTGAAGCATTTACTACATAGCATTTACTCAGATTGTTGTGGTATCAAGTGATGAACTTCAGGTTTTCCCCTGAAAAACCAAATTCAAAGAACTAGTCCTTTGTATTACATTTTCTCATAGTAGTGTGAGCCACATAAAAGAACCATTACCTAATATTCTTCTAAACAGAAGGTGACTGCATTGTCAAAGACTGCTGGTGAGTAATTGCAGATGGTGTTGCCAGATTGTGACTAACAGGGTACAAAATTCTAGATTAAATCATTTACAAACTAGTAATGAGTTTTCAATGCAGCTTTTTTTTCCCCCTGTATTCTAAAATACTTAAAATGGAGTTCATTTTGTATGTGAACAAAGTATATCTGTATTTATTTGTAAGCAACTGCAAAATGGTCTCTTAGAGTGTAAGTGCTTCTTTTTGTGTTTGGGGATGACAGCATCATTGAGAATGATCAAAAGGAAATGAAGATGTAAATGATCATATTCCACAGAAGAGAATAAAGGAAACTTCAGTGCAAGATGTTGCTGTTTACATATAACTTTGTGTAGCGGTTGTATTTTACATACTTTCTCAGAAGGCTGTATTTTTCTCTCTCTGAGAATGTGGGGTCAATGGTGTTGAATTTTTGTGATTACTGTGACACTTTTGTACAATATATTGTTTTTATTTCTTTATTGTGGAATTCTTTTAAATGTGACAAGAGAACATATCTGGTAGGAAATAGTGATGCAGATGAAAGGCTTGCAGTAGTATTTTCAATATTTTTTATGTTTGTGAAGACAAGTTTATTCAAAATTTCAAGTATATGGGCTGTGTAAATTTTTAAGGTGTGCTCAACTTGTTTACCCACGTTCTTTCCTACTTTTCCTCAACTGCCTTTGTTTCTTAACTGCCGCTGGGCACTTAAACATACTACATTTAACTTTGAACTAGTTAAAGATTGATTTGCAGGGTAACTAGCAGGTCCTGGCTTTATTTACCAAAGATAAATATCAGGGTATTATCAGCCCCTGGGTATACAGCTAAAGGATCCCAGGTATATCTCCTAAGTTGAGGATACAATTCTCCTAATTCAATTAAGGATTGTGTTTGAAAAAGGAGAGCAAGACTCCAGTCTCCCACATTGGGTCACCTTGTTCTTTCTCCCTGAGATCCAAGTTCTATCGATCAGGAACCTGCAGTTACCACTTTTGGCCATTATAGTCTCTTAAAGACTACAAGGTGACAGTAAGTACAAAGAAGAACTAGAAATTCAGTAGAAATTCTGATCAAAAATTCTTCAGAAATCAAAAAAATAACATGGGGGAAAAAGAAAACACCTCATGTCTGGATTAGTCTAGTGTTTTCAGGAAAATTTCCTACACAAATCCGGCCAAATCTTCCAGCCATAACATGGGATGGAGTGTGAGCTAGAAGGGCTTCAGACCTTCTGGGACTTGCAGATAAATGTGCTGGAAGAGAATTCTCCATTAGGAGAATGACGCAATTAATATTTACGAAGCACAGCGTTTTCTGCCTCTGAGCTTGCGTGCACCAGAGGTTTCCCGTGTGGTCCCAGGATTCAGTGAAGTACCAAAGTTGCAGGGTGTCATTGGGCTCAGTTTTGGTGCTGCAGGGCTGCTGCTTCCTGCCTGGGTTTTGTTTAGCACCCGTGTCAAATTTCTGCATAGGACAGAAGTCAACCCCAGAGGGCTTATGTAGCCCTAGCAAAAGAGCTGTTCCCATTCTGGAGTCTCATTTAATCGCTTCAGAAAGGTAACAAGCTGAAATGGTTTGATATTTTGTCTACTATTTTTGCATTTCCTCTTCCATCCCTAATTTCATTTCTCTTCTGTGAAAAGGTCTGGGCTCAGAATTTTGTAACTAATTAACACCAGTTAACTACCTGGCATAAACCAATCGTATCACGAGTACCCTGGGTGCTGCTAATGCTGCCTCTAAGTAGAGCTGCAGTCATAACCTTTCTGCTGGTTGCCATCTCTGTGCCAGAAGGGATTTCAGCAGCCAGTCATTCTTCACCCTAGTCATTATCTGGATATAGTCAGTATAATAGCCTATGTACGATGTCCTTGTGAAGTAATGCAGTAGTCTGGATTTCTTTCATAATGAATAAGCATTTGTCATGTAAAAATCATCCCTGAGGAATTATCTTGTGTAAGGAATTAGCACAGCTGAAGAGACATATGGAACACAGAAGGCCATTAATTCAGAGATCCTGTTAGAGCTCAGGATTTTCCCCCATTTATTATATATCCTAAGGTGTAACAACAAAAAAGCCCTCACTGTTGTGTATGAGTCTAATGTGGTTAATGTTCATTAGTTACGTACGATAGTGATACAGATCTTTCATGTGTGAATGCTACTAGCCCAGGGGAAAAATAAGTTGAATTAAAAAAGCAGTGAGAATTATCTGTTCATAGAGTTTTGCTTTATTAATGCCAGAGAATGTATGGCCATGGTGTTCAACTATCTGGTAGGGACCATACATGGATGCCTTCTAAAATAATGGCATTTCAGCTGACTTTATTTATTTTTCTCTCTCAGTAATGAATCTTCAGCAGTACTTTAGCTACTGACTTCTTAATTGAATCATGCTTCGATTTAAGATCATTGTAACCTTTATGTTACTCAAGATGTTTTTTGATTGCATTGTATATAAAAGAAGTCTAAAGATAAAAATAAATTGGATAATGGGTTACAAAGACATACAGCAAAATCCAATCTTTGTTTCTTTTGTTGCATCCTAGGAGGCTTTTCAATGGGAGGTGGAATGGCAATGCATTTAGCATATAGGTTTCATCAAGATCTGGCGGGAGTCTTTGCTTTGTCTAGTTTTCTCAATAAAGACTCTGCTGTTTACCAGGTGAGTGGTAGACTTTACAGAAAAACTGCTTAGCTAAAAGATAAATGTGATAATTAAAATTGAGTACATCATGTTTGTTTATCTGAGACAATTGATTAATATTCTAAACTTATGACATTTCTTGGAAATAGATAAGCAGAGTATTAGGGAAGTGAGGCTTTAAAGCTGTCCTTATGTGATGTTTTGTTGCTTTTTTGCACAGGCAGTGCAATTATTTTATTTGAAGTCAGTCATTGTAGAAGGCAGATTAATAAATGAAACGCTTTGCAAGTTGTCCTTAGTTTTTAGAGTCCATGTAAGTGTAACTATTCTTTGAAAATTTGTGATGAATTGTAATACTCATGGGCTCCATCTGCTGTCATGAATTTTTTCTATTTCTCTTATTTGGAGAGGGATATAGGGATATAGACCTTAAACCCTATCATTTGTCAAGAGTTAGGACATTGGAATTTGAACTGCAGTTTTTCCAATGTTTCCTTGTTTGCTTTTGTAGAGATAGTACAATATAACCACTAAAATGCAGGTTAATAAATGAAATGCTATGTAACTTGTCACCATGTAATTGTAAATATTCTTTCAAAAATCTTAGTGATATGTCTGACAGTGTTTCTTTTTCATCTAGGCTTTGAAAAGAAATGAAAGTGTTCTTCCTGAATTATTTCAGTGTCATGGAACTGCTGATGAACTAGTTCTCTACTCATGGGGTGAAGAGACCAACAGGATGTTAAAGTCACTGGGAGTATCAACGTCACTTCATACTTTTCCAAACCTTAATCATGAGTTAAACAGAACTGAAATAGAAAATCTAAAAGCCTGGATTGTAAAGAAATTACCTGTTGAAGCAGCAAAGGCAAACGAATAAAGGAAGATGCAACTTTCTTAGACTTTCTGATTTTTTTAGGTTTTAAGATCATGCGTGGCATGTATGTGGGTGTCCCATGTACATTAATTAAGCACAGCTTCAGGTAGACACTTATATTCCATAAAGTTCACTTAAGTGGTGAAATGCTGGTGCTATGAACACTCATTTTATCATACGGGTTCCATGTTCAGTTTTCTTGTCCAGTTTTTAAGTACACATCCACATCAGTCTGGAAAATAATGACTGATAATATTAAAACCATTCCTAAATAATCAAAGTAGTATTCAGGAAGCATTGCTCTGAATTTCCCAAATACTTTTTTTCTTTTTCAGTGTGTGTTCTAAAATGGAAAAATATACAATGGTATGGTTGTCTTTCTAACAGCATTACAGCAGAAAAAGGCCAATTACTGAAATAATGGACTTTCACTTGTAGAAGTACATGCATATATTCAAGTTAGTTCACTGAAAGGAACCATATTGGCTTCGGTTTGATTCTCAGCACGTGGGAATGAACCTGCATAACCATTGTAGGTCACCTCAAAAAAATAACTGAGGTTCGTATTATATTTTTAAAAGTCCTAAGTAGCTGTGTCTAGCTATACCACTTTGTTACTGTTTTGTTACTCAGAGATCTAGCTTCATGTGAGTTGCTTGAGCCCTGTGTGGTTTCTCGTGTAGGCTTAAAAAAAAAAAAGTGCCATGATTGTTAAGATCTATCCCGGTTTTGAAGAAATCATTCTTTGGGCACTGTTCCTGTAGAAACTTATTTTTGCCAACAGTTTTATTTTGGCCTGCAAGATCACATTTTAAATTAAAAGATGAGGATACTTGACTCCTCCGTGAATATTTAAGAGTAGTAAATAATGATTGTGATATAAAGAAAGCTTGTATCCCATTATTTTAATGGTGGATGATTCATCTCTGTGTCAGTTTGATAAATTAACTCAGAGTATAAATATCTATTCTTATGTAATTTTAATGCTTTTTTTTAATTCCCCCATTCTGCCCCATTTTCTCCTCTCCAAATTCAGTAATTTTATTAGCATGACAAGGTATTCAGCCTCTATCCAAGGTCAATAGATCCAAGTCTCTTGCTTAATCTTCTCCTTCCCCCCTTTTCTGCAGAGTGGATCTAGGACACTGTTGTTTGCTCTGTCACAGCAGATTGCTGCCAGTATTGGCTATGACTCCAGAATTGTTGGCCAGCTCCAGGGGTCTAAGAGTTTTGTTCGAATCCTCATGCACCGAGGCCTGAGCCAGCTTTTACCTATCTTGAAGAATAAGCAAAGGGGAAAAAATGTCACTGTTCAAGTACAAGGCATGTAATTGGCAGTAGCAAGTAACAACTTCCTGCTGCTAAAAATATTTTGCTTTATTTCATTTTGCTAGCATTAGCAAGTCAGCAGTCTGTTCTGAAAAACAGGATTTTAAATGGCACATGAAAACTCAGCTATTTGAAACAGTAACTGAACCGAGTTTTTTCCTGGTGCCCTAGGCTTCCTAATTACTACAAATTAAATTGAAACAGGTGTGTTCAGAGGCAGCTGAGCTAACATTGCCTTGGCCCAACTCTAATTACAATCCTTGACAAGTGAAGTTGTAGGATTTTAGCAATAATACATCATTTTGAGTTTTGCACCATTTTCCGCTCTTCCTGCAGTTCCTATCGGGAGGCTATTTGAACCGCTAATGCAAGGTGGTAATTCATTTCGGTGACAAGTGCATTCAGATGGGAAACTGGTGGGCCCCTGGCAAGGTGGCTTTTAACAAGGTCAGAGAATAGCACAAAACAATTGAAATAAGATCATGGAGGGAATAGAAATTACTACCAAGCCAAACCCAGTTTTCAATTGTTTTTGCAGTCTTAATAATTGCAAATACAGTGGATACAGAGTAGTTTGGGTTTGTTCCCTTGATACAGGCTGAGAAGCAATTCCAAAGGTCTGCATTTCATGACGTTCTTAGAAAACAATGAAATCCCCAGTTTGCATCTGTTTTCTTCCATCTTCCTCGGCCTGTGAGTGAAATGCCAACTAATCAGGAGATGCATTGTGACATAAGATTGGAAATCTTTTAGGTATATGCTGTAAAGGGGGTCCCAAATCTCAGAGTTTTGAGGTCACTTTTGGCATGTTAGACACCCTATCAATGGAGGTTTTCCTTCAGTCTGCAGGTAGCTTCAGTGAGGACAGTGTGACTTGCCTAGCCCATTTGCTGAGGATGGTGTGGCTCTCCGTCCCAGATGGTGCCCAGCTCAAGTTGGACAAATAGATTGAAGTTTAGCCCAGAAAAAGTTGGGCTGCTGGTTGGTATTGAGAAGCAGCCAGAGGCAATATTAGTCCTTGAAGACAGTGGGCCTGCTGTTAAGATCTCTAGTCAAATGAAAACTTTAATAGTCAAAATTAGCCCAGCTGCTCAACAGCACGTTTCAGAAGTAATCCAGATAGGTTTTTGACTGACTGGTCCTTTTTTTTGACCTAGCCCCTTTTTACTTAAAAATTTTTTTCAAATTGATGCTGATCACAGGGCAGGGGAGGGGTTCGTTTTCCAAAAGGGCATCTCAATGCTTACAGCACTACTGCTCCAGGATCTACCCGTTGATTTCTGGGTGGAGTTTGAAGTACTTTGATCTTTAAGGATCAAAAAGAGTTCCCTTTTGACTAACTGGTTGCATGTTGTTGGGACAGAGTTACAGTAGCAGGTGCCAGGGCATACAGAGCCCTGAACTGGGATATCTTAGCGGTTGTATCTAGATTTAGATGAAGAAAATGCAAAAGAATGCAACATTCATCCCTAATCTTTCACTCCTGGTATATTTAGGGGTGTTTGCATGTCATATGAAGATGTTAAGGAGATAGATGCCATGTACTCTTAGGAGGAGCAAACTCTGAGCTCTGTCTCATTTTCTTGTACGTGGACTTTTTTCCACTTCTCTCTTACAGATTGAAGGAGAAAACATGTTTAAAGATACTGTCGTCCCATACATAATTTTGACAAATATATTGCAAAATTCCAGTGCCAAATGTGGATCTGTATCACTTGAGCTACTGAAGATATGAAAATATAAACTAGAAAGAAGGGAACTCTGTGCTGTGATAATCCAGAGGAGGCAGGAGCAATTACTTGGCATGCGGTTTATGTTCCTACTCACGCTTTCAAGGTTTTGGGGGTTTTTTTGTTTGCTTCCCCCCCCCCCCAAACTTAGAAAAGAGTTTGGTATTAAAAGTTTGTACTTAAATGCCATTTAAAAATATAACTGAAATAACTGAGTGAGTAAATCCATTCAGATTGATGTTACTTTGTTGGAGCTTGGTACTGTTTGGGTGAAAAACATAATTCAGTAAGCAAAAGAAAACTAGCTTAATTTAAACATTAACTCTCTTGGGCTTAGTGTGTTCCATATTGCTTCAGAAACAAAGCAGTAGTGTTTGGACGCTTTTTTTTTCTTTTTTTTTTCCTTTCTTTC